ACATCGCCTATTATCTGGCCGGACCACATCGTATCCCACAGATCTGTGAGCAGAAGCATTATTCCGCAGTATTCATTAGACCTTGGTAAATGCCGTCATAACCGGTGGCTTCCAGTTAGATGTCGATGTGGTCCCCGTGATCGACTGCTAGATCGGTCGCTCACCGAATTTAAAGCTCATGCAAACAATCAGGCGTTGATACTCGAACTAGTGTGTTCCTGGCGAAGTTTCTTACTGTGTTTTGTAGCAAAACCTCCACATGTTTGTTAAGTAAAAAGTTTAAATCTGAATTCATGCCTCGCTTGTAGAAAACAACACGATTTACCATATCTGCACTCACCTGATTTGCATTGACGCAAGATTATATATACCGGTCCGAGAGATAATTTATGTGAAACCTTTTTTTACTAAGATTAATATTATTCTATGGAGCAATGAACAAAAGCAGTAACTTCTGATCTGCGGTATTTAATGGCGTAGGCACTTACTTAGATATTCGGAAAAGTCAACCTTCGCCCAAACTTGGTCAGTTTTCCTCCGATAAAAAAAGATTTTAAATTCATTATTCGTTATTGAAAGGCTTCATGAGCCTCAAAGCAATCGAAGTAAACAAATCGGAAAGAGTCTCGCTCTTCTTTGTAAGGATTGCTCATCACCCCTGGAATCATGTTGCCCGGAGAAAGGGGCATCGCCTCCGTAAAGCACCAACCCCACTTGTGTTGTCCGAAATACTGGCCGGTCCCTGAAAATCCCAGGATGGCATTGTGATTTTCGTGGCAGACCGTACCCATATCGGCATCAAGTCTCCAGAGTGAACAGCCTCTGGCAAATAGCATTCTGTAAGTAAGGAACGTCGGCATATTCGATTCGCAAGGCTATAAAGCAAGGCTCAAACTTTACATGATTTTCCAGTGGCTGGAAGAATGAGGCAAAAACTTGCTAGTTTACGAAATGAATTCAGCAGGTAGCCGTCACTCACCCTTTATCTCTTTCACCCGGTTTTTACTTGTGCGCATTTGCGGAGGCTCGAAGGTTATGTATATTCACCCGCCAGGGACTGGAAAAGCCTTGGGCTAGGTCTGACAGATTCAGCTTCCATTTGTTGGGGAGAAAAGTTAATCAGAAAAAATGGCTAAAACACTGTTGCACGCAGTTCTTTATTTGAGCGACCTTTTTTCTTACGTAATCGAAGATGCCGACTGAAGTTGCAACAGTCGAACTACATCGTCTTCCCGCTAAACTGACGGATTAATTTATTCCAGTGAACGGTATACGATATAAATTTAATTATGCAATTAACGTTCACCGATCGCTAACGGAGCTTACTCGTCTCGCTCATTCTTGGTCCACGCTAGCAGCCGCACAGTGACAGGTACGTTAGGTCGATGAAAATTGCCTGCAAAGACAGGGGAGACTGGGATGGCTGTTCCTGGCTCGCTAGCCGTCATCAGCCAGTCATACCCAACCCCGAGTAGTGCCACACCCGAGGCTCAAACCCGAAATCTTTTGATCCCAACTATCAGTGGCAGTGAAACTTGAGCTTTCAGCTACAGGAGGAATTAGAAGAGAGAGGGTGGGAGACATTATCCTGGTTCCAATGAATGGCGACCTGGGTACTAGCCTGCATTCGTTTGGACATGGGTAAGAAGAACATCTGTAGTCTGTCATATTGCACCTAAAGTACTAGAATGTAAGTTAAACATGCGCAATAGCCTCAACCCTTAAGCCTACAAAGCGATACGTAAAATTTACAGTGACTGAGGCAAAATCTTGCCAGGTTACGAAACGATTTCAGCAGTTAGCCTCCACCCACCCTTTTAGCTCCTTCACCCGGTTTGTACTTGCACGCATTTTCGTAGGTAGCGGTAACAGCAACTAAGTAAATAAAGATAAAGCAAAGTCACTCGCCCGTTTGCTGGGTTGCCTGCGTGCAAACATGTCTGCACCTGTGCACAACCAAGAGTCCTGGTCGGCACTCGTAAAGAAAACCGCCGAATCCGACGGTAAAGGTAGCACAGCCTAAACTGTACTCTTCGCTACTTCAGCTGTCTACGAAGTAGGAGTCCACGGCAGCCTCACAAGATAGTCCTGCTCAGTTGCTTGAATATCAGAGGAAGAAATGCGATCAGTGGAACAAGAGTTTTATTTGCCTGATGTTTCGGATTCCCTCGGGAATCCTTAACTATAGGTGATGATAACACATTCATGGTCATGCGCAGATGAGGTGGAAACATGCACAGGCTGCACGGTATTTATAGTTCCTAGTGTTCGTCCGCGTGTGTGTGATAATTGTTCACTTCTGTAACCACCGCTTGGGTCTTAATTGTTGCGGTACTGGCTTGACACTTCGCGTTCGACATACTAATTGCTACAGATGCCATGTCAGCATCAGATGCGGGCCTGATAATCGCGTGACAATTATGCCCGCTGTCGTCAGAGTTGTTGATGCGTCCGGTCCTTCCCACGTGACTGGTTCTCTTGCTCAGGAAGCTTCTCAGTACACCGTATGGGAACGCCAAATCGTTGCGCTTGTT